TATTTACTTTTAACTCTCAACACTCAAATTATTAAGGAAGCCTCGCAATATTAACCGCATCCACCCGACCATCATATAATATTCACTCTGTTACATTCAAAATGTCTTCCACGAGCATCACTTTCTAAGAAATATCAGAGCCCAAACATGTTTCATAAAGCATTCGGCTAATGAATAAGCTAACTGTAAACATGGGATATGTAAATATTTGTTTTGTGTATGTTTGAGATCTAAAGAATAAAAAAGGTCCCGAAGGAAAGCTATGTATCATCTTATAATTGTTCATAAATAGGCACGGAAGACAATGCAGCTTGCACGTTGACTTTCGATACAACAAATAGGTGACACCTGATTTTAATGTCCACTCAGCACATGATACTTCACCTTTAATAATATTTGATTAATTTTGATGAGTACACAATAAGCTCACATGTCAAAGTAGTGTAGTGTATCGGTGTCAGTCGTAACACGCGACTGTAGCTATTTCATATTTTGCTACCTACTAATGAATGATAAATCTTCAGCCGTTTGTTACCAAACAACCTAATGTCAAAATAATGTAGGGTAAAAGCTTGTTTGTAGCTATTTCATGTTTTGCTCATTACTAATGAATGATAAACCGTCGGATGTGTTAACGCACTTTTCTCATTGATTCTTACCAAACAACCTACCACAAACTATATATATAGAACTGAACGCCGCAATTCGTCAATAAACGCGCTTGACTTACTCAATTCAGTTTGTACCTGAAACTCAAAAAGAACCTTACTGTATGGTGGATTCAAAGTTGTGTGGAATGAAATCTCACGTGAGTTTATGGGGCATATACTTATTCACTTTGGTCCATTTATAACTTCATAAATGTGTTACCTCTACTGCGATCCTGACATGCATTCTTCTCAGATTTGGTTTGGTTGGTTTGTTGTTTAACGCCGCACTCAACAATATTACAGCTATATGACGGCGGTCTGTAAATAATCGAGTCTGGACCAGACAATCCAGTGACTGATATCATGATAATCAATCCACGCAATTGGGGTCGATGACATGCATCAAACAATGCAGCGAACCTGACCACCCGATCCCGTTAGTCGCCTCTTACGACAAGCATAGTCGCCTTTTACGGCAAGCATGGGTTGCTGAAGACCTATTCTACCCCAGATCTTTACGAGCATTCTTCTCAGAATATTACTTGCCAAACAAACTTGGCCAGGTCTTGTATATCTGTGAGGAGAATGGTGATACACCGCTTTTAGCAATATTCAATATCACGGCAGGAAACAACAAGGGTGAGCTTCATGTGCACGTGGGAGTGAACTCTCCAGCCACGGGGCTACTCCATCGTCATTATTAGTGATGCAAACAGCAGCAAATACATTCTTACTCATATCCCCGGGGCACTGCTGTTCCGAAATGTTCAACTACAAACAGATTGGTTAATCATATATTCCTTCACTTACCTTGTTCTTTACCTTTTTTCTCGTACACCGGAACAGGCCAAGAAATCACGGTGAAAATTCGCTTCTTCTTGGATAGCATTCATAATGAACATCACAAATTATCTTTTCCCGAAACCGTCATTGTAGTGTGTAAATAGTAGAAACATCAATACTGTCTGCAAGCTCATGTTCATGTCCATTAACAATCTAATCTCACAGATTTTTGCAATTAATTTGACATGCAGTTGTCAAATATTCCTCGTCTGCTTCCATTCGCGGCGTCTGGAATTAACGCGCATGGAAAAAACTCGTGCAACGGAAGTGAGCCGTGATTGGTTGAACTCGTTCCCATGACATCACGTGACAATGCTCGCGATCATCTGGGTGAAATAAACAAGGCCTCAAACTTGTCTTGATACATATTTGTCCAGAGACCATAAAATAGGTCTCTGGTAAGTCGTAACGACAAAGCCAACATTGCAGAGTAAGTAGGTCGGTCGGGTAGCCCAGTGGTTAAAAGCGTTGGTTCGTAAAGGCGAAAGACCGGGTTCGATTCCCAACATGGGTACACAGTGTGAAGCCCATCAATGGCGTCTCCACACATATGGTTGTATTAATGTCAAAGGCGGCGATAAATCTAACTCACTTTGAAAGGTTCTATGTTCAACGGCCATTTCCAGTCTAGGTCTAGACGTTGAAATTTGCTAGTACCTTGTGTGAACAATCATTGTAACTTCCGTACTGTTGACGTCATTGTAAGGTTGTTCTCATGCAGACATTGTGATAATGTACTTTGAGTTAGCAGACAAACATTTTCTTTAAATGACTTTGAAAATACTTCTTGACAGGCGCGATCTGGCTCCGCGAATTCATGAACATATATGAATCATTACAGCATTGATATCAATTTAGTATGACCCAAAACAATATGTTTACTATATGTGTTTATTGTATTTACGATGCTGTAATGTCCTGGTTCGACACGGAATATTTCTCAACGCTGTCACTCTTTAACTGACTGAATTGGATTCGGTTACAACTGCCTAAAACTCATTGAAGATTAATGCATTTATCGTGTGTCCACTACGTGATTAAAAATTGCAAAAATGATTGCATTCTCCAAAACAACAAAATATAACTTCGAATTCAAGCTAGGTTGGACAACATGGGCAGTGGTAAACAAGAGTCGTTGCCATAGCGCCCATCTTCATGGATGTACTCAGTGTGCAACAGGGAGAGTTTGACTTTTGCATTGAGATTGAGCACCCGAAAAAACGTTTCGTATAAAAACTGAAACACTCTTAAGGACAAATACCATTTTGCCAGGTGGGGGTTCGGGTTAGAATTTGCAACTTAATGGATATGGTGGTCAGGCTTGGTTTATTGTGTGTCATCAGATCTCGGCGTGAATCGTCGCTCATAAGATTAATCACTGGTTTGTGCGGTCCAGACTGGATTTTGTTTGTTTGTTGTTTAACGCCGCACTCAGCAATATTCCAGCTATATGACGGCGGTCTGCATTGTCACCTTTTACAGCAAGCATGGGTTGCTGAAGACCTATTCTACCCTGGATCTTCACGGGCCTCCAGACTGGATTAGAGGCGACTGTGCTTGTCGCAAGAGTCGACTACCGGATCGGGTGTTCAGGCTTGCTGACTTAGTTGATGCATGTCATTGTATCCTTGTTGCGTGGATCGATGCTCATGAAGTCAATCAATTTACAGACCACCGTCATATTGCTGGAATATTGCTGAGTGCCGCGTTAAACAAACAGAAATATGGTGACTGCAGATTAATTAAATATGAGCTTGGGTGTGTTATTACGTAACTTCGACTACTTCCGTATTTCATTCTTTGGGGGACCTGGTTGGAATATATAATACACACACAATCTTACTTGTCCATTCCTCGAAGATTACCATACCAAAATAGATTGATGTCAACAAAAACGTTGATTTAGAAAACGTGGAGTTCTGCATGGAGATGGAATATCAAATCCTCACCAGATTGTGAGACATAGAGAATCTCACCCGAGTGTCTTTTGATATCAAATATATCAACGAGTGATATTTGATATCAAAACACACGAGGGTGAGATTTTATTGATCATTCTTCCAACATTTTCAGTTTGTAGACAGTAATAAGCAGTGTCTTAAGTGTAAAAAGTACTGCTAACAGCTTCAGTTGCAGAGCCATTAGTGATGTCATTTAATTGTGACGTCACAATGGTCTGCAAAGCATTGTGATGCAACTTCATTGCAGCAATATCTACGCTGTAGATATCGCTTGATCTCACTCAATACAAGTGATATCTCCCGTGGGAGCCAGTTTTGGATGATAAATTTTATTGTACTAACTCCGGCCCATATACAAAACAAGAATACAAAGTTTCAGTGAGTACAACACAGCTACAGAGATGTGCTGTATAAATACATTTGTGTCGATGAAGTAGGCGATTATGTTACGAAGTGATGTCACAATGCAATACTACTGACCCCGACACAGCACATGGTGAACAAAAAGTGTTTACCTAAGAATTGTTTTATCATCCTTAGAGTGTAACAGATATTTACATGTATACAAATTTTGTAATGCAGGTGGAATATATGCTTCCTTAACCTGTACAAACATATGAAATTCATCCTCTATACAAGTTGGTGGAAAGGACACAATCTTATTGGTTTCAGTATAGAAGGCTGTTTTATTATAATGTATATACATATGAATGAAATACTGAATTCATCCAAAACTGGCTCCCACAGGAGATATCGCTCTCGTTGATAAAAGTGGCAAAAATCCTCGGCAAGCCTCGAAATTTTTCCACTTTTATCAACTCGTGTTGATATATTTGATATCAGAAGACACTTGGGTGAGATTCTCTATATCTTGACTGGATCGGTTTGAAGAAAGTCAAACACCATTGTTCCACAGTCTAGAATACTTTGTACATGTATACATTAATTTTATTTTTCTGCACATGGAATTATATTTTTCACACGTTTATTCCAGTTTTACTTGTCTAGCAAATTGATTAATATCATACAGATTTGACCACAGGTTGGCAACATGATTTGCCTGTAAGTAAAAAATTGCCCCAACAATCTTTGAGAAGAGACCCCTAAAGATTCGGGCAACCCATGCTTTTGATATTGGGATTTTCTCAAGTTAACATTACATTCAGTGGAACAATTAAGAAATATAACATGTTCTCTTTTATTGGTCCTGTTATCAGTGAAATAACCTCTGCTATGACATGAAACTCGTGAAGATCCGGGTTAGAATGATGCATGTCATTGTATCCCATTTGCGTAGATCCATGCTCATGTCAATCACTGGATTGTCTGGTCCAGAATCGATTATTTACAGATCGCTGTCATATTGTTATGTGCGGTGTTACAACAAACAATGACATGAATTGGGAAATATTTAATTCCAATTTCAGATTTTTGAACTGACAGCTGCTGCAGCTTCTGAGCAGGTAAAGTCCTGATCAGCCAACCCTCGTCAAACAGTGAAACAGGAACTGTTTGGATGCAGCAGTATTAACAACAAACACAGAGCTAACAAGGTCATGTGAATTTATTCGTACAGTCAGAGACTATTAGTTTTACAATTGTGAAAGAAAGAAAGTTAGCTTTTGCTTGTCATAATATTCTGGACGGACTAACACAAAAAACCTGTACACTTGCAAGCTTTAGTCTATTTACAGATAAATACAAATAACATTATTATACAAGTACTTCAGGATGCACATTTCGACTTCTTCATGGAATGTAACAGATGAAGATGTTGAGGTCTTTTGCTGACTTGTAAAAAAACTGGCTTAAACATTATTTTCATTCTTAAAACTGAATAAATAAAAAGGTCAATCATGAGCATAAAAACTCCCAACAATCTCATTAAAACATCCTCACGTCAAAGTTCTTGATTTCAGTTTAAAATATATTTTGTATGTTGATATGTTTGGTCATGACATTTCAACAGTTAAAATCAAAGACATCAATAAAGCATGTGTGCCTTGGACAATCCTTTACGTAGCAGAGTACTGAATATCAACAAAACCTAGATTGTCTGCAACACGCTCATTTCAAAAAGATCAATTTCACAAATTCTGTAAACCAAATGTTCTACAAAATTCACATAATTAAATATCACCTTTACAGAAGCTTGGTCATCAATCCCCAAACCATAGAAATTTCAAAGACGTTAAAATAATCCAGTAACTCGAGGGTGATGTGAGAAGCAAATGAGTATAGTTGCGATGAAATGTGATGAAACTTCTGTCTATCGGGTGGTGGTGTTGAACTGCATGAAGTAGGCAGCTGTGGGAGGGTTGGTGTACACTTCCTTGTAGAGGTAGTCCTTGTGGGCCTTCTGCTCCTGAGACAAGCGCCGATTCTCGTCAGCCATCTGCCTGTCCATATCCTGCTTCTTTCGTGCCATCTCACGTTCTAGCAGCAGTGCTGCACGAGCATTGGCCACTTGCTGGCGTTCCCATTCCTTGTCTTTTAGTTCCTCTTCCTGCTTAAGACGCTAGAAGAACAAAGATCATAAGTGAAACTTCTTACATCTCACTTTACATCTTCACTTTGGACTAATATCGAGTTTTGGACAAGCTGCCGAAGTTGTAGACTGCTACTGGAACAATTAAATACTTCAAAACAACAGTCAAGTCTCGTTAATCCGACACTCGTTAATCCAACAATCAGCTTTATCCAACACTCATGATGGGAACCGATTAAATCAGTGCTATTTAGACCCGTTAATCCGACAGTCTTGCACTCCGACCCCGACACAGCTAATTTGCAACGAATTACCGAGATCACTCAATAATCAGTCTCGTTAATCCGACACAGTGATCAGCGTACGCCGTGGTCATCTGCCCGCGAGTACACATCCCGTGTTTTGATGTGAGATGAATCAGCTGGTAGCTGCATATTACAACGGCTGCAGAGATAAACTTGCTTAACCATAAACAATTAATGCTTTAAATAAAGAAAACAGAATTTATTACATGCTTAGATTACCCCAATTTCATTGAAATCAGATACAAGTTCTGGCTATCACTGAGGACATCCCATTACAGGTCACCTCAGAACAACATTTCGTGAACTATGACCTACCAATGAAATGACTAACAGAAAGTCAACTTTAGCCACTTAGAAAGCAGTTTTACTTAAGCTTTGCGGAACCAGTTTCAAACTTGCAACTTCCATTCCAGACTTTGCTTTTTAAAGTACTTTGCATAAGTCATACAGTCTGTAACAGTCGTTTTGTGTTTAAACTTTAGAGGTTGCATGATTAGAAAACATATTCCGCCAACAATGTAACATAATAATATGAATATTTATTTTTTATTACGTGTTTGAATCGGTATCTATTGCGAAGCTGTCTGATTTTCGATCACAAACGTGGATACTACTTAATTTCCTTTATCCGACATACTCGTTAATCCGACATAATCATATGCAACCATCGATGTCGGAGTAACGGGACTTGACTGTATTTGGGGAATACTTTAACGACAATTCCTTTTGTAGTTACGATCTACTTATGAATACCGAGCCCTAACATTACTAGTTCAGAGAAATATCAGAAAAATCAGCTTACATCTAGCTCCATCCTCTGGAGGTCCTGTTGTTTGCGTATCGCCTCCAACTGTGCAGGGGACATGCCCTTCCACCGGTCGGGGATCACGCGATGGGGGCCGAATGCACTCTGAGCTACAGAGGGGTTCTCTGTCAGGATGTCACCATATATGTGGTTGGCGATCTCCGTGGCGTTGTCATCAAGCTGCTGCTGACGAGACAGAGCCTCCTTCTCCTTCCTGTCACGATCCTGGAAATTACAATAATAATTCACTGTCTGATTATCAAAAGGATTCCATCAATTTGCTATACCCCGGTATTTGTTTTTGGTTTGAGAAAGTTACATGGCGATGAGAAATAGCTTTAAAGATGTAAACAAACTTTTGAAGGAAACTTTATCTTTGTCTCACATATGTATAAAGATTTGCATAAATATGATTTAAATAAAAAGTTATGAATTTTCATTTTAAAACATTCCTAATTGTAAGTTATTACACTAAACATGTTCTGTCCTAGACTGGTTTACCTGCCCTAGACTGCTTGCGCTCCTCTCCTGCAGTTGCTAGGAAGCAAATGGCAGGGTACCAGTCTAGCTCTATCTGACCTATTTCCCCATACAGCATTTCGCTGTGGTGAAATGGGGACAGGCCCACACACAAACCCACCCATGTTATACATATTATTGACAAAACCATCAGCATTTTTTAATCCCTATTGATGTAGTACAATCTCAGGGCAAACAATTGCAATACATCAATAGTTTCATATGTCGGTACCCCCTACTTACAAGTGCAGCATTAAAGTCCTTTGTAGAATGGTTGATAGCTCTACGGCACTGTTCCTCTGCGTCCTGCAGCTCCAATGCTCTCTGGTCCAGCTCACGCATCTTCAGCTCATACAGTCTGTCTGCCATATCCTGATTGCGCTTGGCTTGGTCTCGCTCATTCATTTGCTGTGTATGCCACTCGCGTAGCTGTTCCTGTTGGAACTTGTTCCTAGCCTTGTTGTTCAGATCCTCGCCATCAAACTTCTGAATGCTGGAGATGCCACACCTAGGGTCATCATCGCACACACGGGCAGGTTTATCCTTCTTCAGCGCCTCTGGGTCGTACAAATCCCACTCTCGTCGGTTTCCTGGCTGCTGGTGTAATGCTCTGAAATCATTCTCTGCCTTGTTGAGCTCCCGGATATCCTGCTCCTGTCTTTGTTCAAGCAGCTGTGCAATCAGATCGTTGCGGACAGCATCAGAGGCTGAAATAATCAAAACAGTTTCAATAATAATGAGTGAGTATGGTTTAACACTGCTTTTAGCAATATCCCAGCTATATGACGGTGGTCTGTAAATAATCGAGTCTGGACCAGACAATCCAATGATTGACATCCTTAGTTTAGGCATCCAATGCAGTTGTGGAAAATGTAAAACAAGAGTTGTTTGTTTGTTGTTTACCGTCACACTCGGAAATATTCCAGCTATTTGACGGCAGTCTGTAAATAATCAAGTCTGGACCAGGCAATCCAGTGATTGATGTCATGAGCATCAACCCACGCAATTGGAATCCCATGACATGCAAAGTTAGCTTGCTTGACCACCCAATCCTGTGAGTCGCAAGTATGGGCTGCTGAAGTCCTATTCTACACAGGGCAAATCAAGAGTTAAAGCCTCTTTCATTTCATAATGTTTATTGCACAATTTAGGAAATGCACAGTATATTTATTATTTTGTTCTTCTGGATTTCAGACAATTAAAGGATTCTGATTGCTACAAGACATGGGCCTCTCACCAATTCAATGTTTGTTTTTAAAAGACACTTCATTTATGAGCTAAATCATGACGATTTTGAGTTTAGTATCAACATCACACCAAATTTTCTGCAATCAACATGGTGTCATGGTAATTACTTGTAATAATGCATGGATATGATGTCATGTTGCTACTTGACACTTTGCTTACAGTTAACACAATAGGCATGAAGTAGTCAATCTGCATTAAGCAAGGTCACATTTCTCAGTGAGAAGTACCAAAACAGTGCTGCAGGATGTCCTGTAGTCACTGTCCCTGTTATTCAGCTGAATCATAGGCATTAGGAAATAATTTGTTGAAAAATAAGTTGACAGCTCAAAACCTGTCAATACCATCCTCCTGAGGCAAGGACTGACTATAAAAGTCCAGTTTACACCCTTGCTAAACTAGGCTGGAATTCCGGAGTTACGTTTTGGCTGGACTAGTGAGTTTATGTATAGTCCAATCAAAATTGCATAACGAACAAGACATCTGGTTTGTAAACATGGATCTACATGCAGACTACGGTCGACTGCAAGACTTGCTAAGCACCAACTAAGCGTTGACAGATATCTTGCAAAATCTTTTCATGTTTTTAATGAGGTGCTCAAATGATTTGATGCACTTTGCATGGTAAGACCTGTTTTATTACACTATAGATCTTCATTATCGATCAGGCCTCGTCTTGACTGGGTGCCACCCTTTTGTTTGAAGAAAATGCAAGCGATATGAGAGGTGGAATCTGATTGGTCAATAGGAGGAACAAAGAAGGGACATAACACATAATAGCCACTGGTGGCGCTAAGATTGAGCCTGGAAATTCCAGCCTAGTTCAGCAAGGGTGGAAACTGGACTTTTATAGTCAGATAACGCCCTTGCCTCAGGCAGATATGTGAATACTAGTTTGGGGCTAATGAGTGATAAAAAGTTGTTTGATGCCACAGACAGCAACATCACAGTCATATCGTGGCAGCCTGTAAATAATAAAGTCTGTCCAAGATAAACCAGTGACAACGACTCCACACTATTGTGACACAATTCTTGGTGCTGAGGGCCTATTCTGCACTGGAGTACTCATTGGTGTTCTGTTATGATGACTCACATCAGCTGTTACCAAGGGGGAAGATGTTTTAAAAGATTGCAAATATGCCCACTTTTTCATCGTTACATCACTTACCTCCAAATGTCAACGTTATTTTTTAAAAATGTCAACTTTGGACATCAGTTCAAAAACAGAAACTGACAGCACATTTGGGGATCTACATTACACAACCAACATCACATGAACAAATTGGCATAATGTTTTGTCACACCTTATCCCATAGCCATAATAGTCCCATGTAACATAAGGAACAGATAATAGAAGAGAGGAATGAGATGAGGGGATGTTGTAAGCCCATGTCTAATACATCATGTACATTGTAAAGGAAACAAGCCTCACCAAATGCTTCATGCCTTCTTCGTTCATACTCTTCCTGCTCCTGTTTATCACGTGCCTGTTGCTCGAGAGCCTGAGGGTCAATCTGCCATAGAACATTTAAAAGTGGCTGAGATTCTTATAAACCATGTGATAAAACACAACATAAAAAATGGAAAAAACTGAATCAATTTGTCCACAGTCTGTGCCAAAGCCATTTAGCATTATTTTCAGCATATTCTAGTGTTAGTAAATGGACCACTATATAAAGCTTTTCTTACTGGACCAGATTTGCTAGACTCAGGATTCGGACAAGTGGCTAATATCACAGATTTGTATACCTAATCAAAACAACTGTTAAGGAATTCAACGGATCTGATGTGTCTTATGTATCAAGATCTGTTTAAACTTTAAAGGTATTTTGACATATGCAGCTCAATGTCAATTTTTGTGAACATCCTGGGACCAGTTACCAAGGTAACACAGATATAAACTCTCTGAAAGTATGTTTAGCTTAGTCTGTTCGGATCCGTCTGCTCGAGGTGAAATTTTGAAAACAAATAATAAAAACACTTGCCTAAGTCGCAAAACACATATGATAGTTTCGAAAATACTGTTGACTGTAACCAAAAGGTGTAATGTCGTCTTGATTAATGTGATGTGAAAAAAGGCACGAGCAAAATAAACATGACTATTCCCTAGTGCACATGCCATTTTGTAAGAAAACTGTAGGCTAGACATTCTTACCCCAATGGTCCTAACTCGGGCATTGAATATTCTGGATTTACGTTGCTCTTCGACATTTCGCCGCCTTTCTATGGCTGATGCCTCCTTATAATCAACAGGCAGGTCTAGTTTGTACATTTTTGTTGAAGATTTCGACGACCTTCCTCCGGGCAAATATTCACAACATCTGACAAGACCTCTCGCTTGTTGCTAAGTTTATGGCGTTGTTAGGCAGGCAAAGAGGGCTTCTCATTGGCTAAAAATAAATAATTGTAAAGACACACGAAAAATGTGAACGTGATATATACTGCATTTATTCGCCATATTGTTCGATAATAATTTTGGATTTTAATTTTCTTGGTTTCTTTAATATACAAAATACAATATTTTTAACGAATCAAACAAACCCGATTCAGAAATGCTGGTCTCGCGAGAACGTTCGATTATCTCGTACGAAGCGCCATCTATTCGCGCTAAAATTTGTCGTCCATGATAATGGCGTACTTTTGGATGACTTTGTTTACATTTTGACTTCTACACATAAATAATAGCTGCGATTGCAGATAATCTCATATTCGGTGGCTTCCTACCATTACAATAAAAATGCCTGGATTCCTGAAATACATTGAAGCGGATAATTTCAAGTCCTATAAGGGATTACAACGCATCGGTCCCTTCAAGCGGTTCAGTGCAATCATTGGACCAAATGGATCAGGTTTGTGATCGTACCTGTTGTTTGCGTCTCAATTATAAATTTCGTTCTTAATCGATTGCAAATTGACAGATGCACTTCTCTGTTAATCTTATTTTTAATTATAGACACCCGATTTTGCGCATTTTATGGGAATGGACGAAGAACTATCACTTTGACATGATGTAAACAAACATTGTTTTCACCGAGTAGTTAGTTGTGATTTGAGATCTTTTGACCTAGAATGTTGTGAACATGTTCTAATTAGAGGTGCGTTTGTGGTATGTCGTCATTAGTTTGCGTATTGGGTGTTTAGATTTTTTGATCGATAACATTAGCAACCAGCGATGCTGGAGATCATATGAATTGTCCCCTCCCACTTTTGGTTCACAACACCGCAGATCCGGGGTAGAATAGGTCTTCAACAAACCATGCTTGCCGTAAAATGCAACTATGCTTTTCGTAAGAGGCGGCTTACGGGATCGGGTGGTCAGACTTGCTGACTTGATTGATGCATGTATCCAAATTGGGTGGGTCGATGCTCATGAAGTCAATCACTGGATTGTCTGGTCCAGACTCGATTATTTACAGACTGAATATTGCTGAGTGCGGCATTAAACAAATAAACACAATACTGCAAGAATGAGTAGGAGATAAACATAGTGATTTCAATGTAGAGCTAATTTACCTGTAGATTTGACTGCGCTAAATTTATCATTCCACAAACTCATACTGCGCGTTCGGCTCCAAATTCAATTGAGCGTGGTTAAATCTACAGGTAAACATACCAAATTCTACATTGAAAACAGTTTGTTTATCTCCATTCTACCATGACTAAATAAAATGTGAACTCTTTGGTGTTTGCAAATATTTTGAGCATTGTTGAGTGAAGAGGCATGGGTTGATTCCAGTGTTTTGAGTGGGTTGTCGATGAGAATTTACGGAATCACTGACAATAGTGTTTAAACAAAGTATAATGATCTATGTGCTCAAGCAGTTTGTTTACACCGTAATACTCCACACAAACTTATGACAGTCACTGAAAGCATGTAGCAGGGCAACCTCTAGCTAGCATGATGCGGGCATCCCTAAAGCAAACTAAGCAAGCCGTGCAAAGATTTTATTCTGCCAAACAGCAAGCTCTCTGTTGTCCTTAAAACTTGAAATACTGTATACGTTCTCTTTGCAGATTTCTATCATGTTTGTATTGCCACACATCCCTTGAATATTGTAGTGACGGCAAATTTGCATTTTGTATAATTGTACATTTCATTATTTAAATATGCCCAATGACAGTGACTGTAAGTGAAGTATAAATCTAAAAATATTAGCTTCTGCGGTGATGCGGCCATCAAATCGGCTGTTTCAATCAGAGTTTTTTGTGTTATTTCATACCTCTGATTGACAAATCACAATTGAGTAGTTTCCAATTCATGGTAGATTTGGAGAATTAATCTCATAATTTAATATAATAATAATGATTGGTATTCAATCAATCATATTTTTTTCATAAACAGCTTGAACCATGTTGAACATTGACCCATGATCTTGATAATGTTTACTGTTACAACTTACATACAACAAATTGGATAGAGCTTGACCATATATTACTGGCCTATCCATGTTGGCAAAAGATTGAAGTATATGTTTTACAGAGTGGTGTTAAGTGTTAATATTACTGGCAGACAATATCAGCAAATTAAGCTGTGCTTTTATCACTTGTTTGATCTAATTTTCCTGAACAATAACAGATTAATGTCAAAAGTAACCTTCGATTTCTACATATATATCCTTGCATCATGTGCATACTGTGTTTTCTAGCCCCATAGGGAATATTTCTGATTATGTGTCCAATAACAATCCCAGTACACTGAAATTAAGTCTTATCTTTTAGAACATTTATTTCTGTTAACATAGTTAGATGGTCAAATGACCATGTCTTGTTAATTTTATAGTGACAATGCCTCGCCCGAGAGAGATGAGTTGATCAGGTGAGATCTTGTTATTGTCACATGATTTCCAGCCCTCCATTACCGCCTCCGTGGTCTTGTGGTAGAGCGTCCGCCCGGAGAGCGGAAGGTCCGGGGTTCGATCCCCGGCCGCGTCATTTAAAAAGACGTTAAAAGATTGTACTTGTTGTTACCCTGTCTGGCGCTCGACATTAAGGGGCTAAAACAAGGTCTGGTCGGCTCGGAGTCAGTATACTGTGTCTGAGTGGGGTATTCATGTTAAACTGCGGCATGGTATCTCAGTGAGCTAGCACTATAAATCGGCATCAGTCCGGACTAGTACAAGCAGCTACACACACACATACACGTGCATGCACGTCGCTATATAAGTGCAATAATCTTGGACGTGACGTTAAACCCAATTTCACCTCACCTCCAGCCGTCCATTACAGTCAAGTTAAAAATAGATGCACTACATCATGTACATATTCTTTTCCTTTCTTTCTTTTCTTTTAACGCTACGCTCAGCAATGTTCCAGCTATATGACAGCGGTCTGTAAATTATCAAGTCTGGACCAGACAATCCAGTGATTGAAATCATGAGCATCGATCCACACAATTGGGATTGATGACATGTATCAACCAAGTCAGCGAGCCTGACCACCCGATCCTGTTAGTCGCCTTTTCTGACAAGCATAGTCGCCTTTTACGGCAAGTATGGGTTGCTGACTTGGTTGATGCATGTCATTGATCCCAATCGCATGGATCAATGCTCATGATGTCAATCACTGGATTGTCTGGTCCAGACTCGATTATTTACAGACTGCCATCATATAGCTGGAATACTGCTGAGTGCAACCAAACAAGCATGCATCAGAGTGCTTAACATGCTTAAGGCATGTGGCGTATTCACTCCCTGTCTTTAGTGGTGTCTTCAGTGATGAGGATTGAAAACATGTGATGATGGGATAAACACAGTCCATGCATTTGTTGCTGATTTGACCCATGATAGTGTACATATTAAAAGTGACTTGTTTCTTTGATAATAATACTGAGATGATAATATTCATTAATCAGAATAATACTGAACACATTAATTGTACTATAGAACTAGAAGGAACTTTGCTTGAGAAAATTGGCAAATGTGTATTCATGGGGTTCTTTTTCTAGGACATCGGCAAATATTCTGAAGATATTTTTCAAGTTTGGTAATGAATTTATACATAACTTATCAGAAGGTGACAATGATGATAATATCATGTCCAATGTGTCTGGCATTCTCATTACTGAAGTCAGTCAAAACACACTTTGGTTAGGTCATGTTGGTTTCAAACATAGGATTACAATGTCTAGACCTGAGAACTGGATATGGTTACCAGGCTGTGTGGCATAGTACCTCTTTAAAATTTGATATTAACAATTTCCTGATAATGTTTTTCGACTTCAAGACCAAAGTTCTAATTCCGTTTTTGAAATTATTGGTGATGGGGTGGTGTGTGTCTGTGTCTGTTTGTATCCTTCCACATGTTCCAGTTTGATCCTATTGTATCTGAATCCAGGAACCCCCCAAAACATCCGAAAAACTTATGCTGATGTGTGATGACTTGTGTTTATATCTGCAGGGAAATCCAACTTGATGGATGCCATCAGCTTTGTGCTTGGTGAAAAAACTTCCAATCTGAGAGTCAAGAGGCTTGGGGTAAGACTTAAGAGCATAATATTAGGACTTAGGAGAAAATATCTGATGATGATCATCATGATCATGATCATGACAAACTATTTCTCTACATGTCCTAGATTTATCCAGACTTGCCTAGGCTAAAGCAGCGTTAGAAATTGGCACTAGTCCTATAGTCCTTGCTAAACTGCCCAATAGTTGAGGTATCCTAAGGACTAGTAGAAATTGGCCCATTTTTTAGGGTTTTGCTATATGTTATCATTATAAGGACTAGTGGACTAAAACTGTTAGTTTCTAACCCTGTAAAGGCTAATATTTAGCCCCAAGTCTGCAGCAGACAATAGTTAAAAATTACAAATTGTTATAGCTATGAAAGAGATGTTAAAGCTTAGTTGATTGCAATGTTGAAATACCCCAGAATTTAAGAAAAGAAGTTTAAAAAATCCCAGTTTTGATCAAAACAATGATTTTTTCCTAATTTTTCTGCCAAGGGCTCTTAGTTTGGAACCCTAGATAAATTCCCGCCCTATATATGCTGGAACCTCATCCATCTGTTCAGTGTTGTGCTGTGTAACATTTTTATTTGAGTAGAAGGTAAACACTGACTAGATGTTCAGGTGTGACAGCCTCTCGGCAAGCTGTTGTACTGTAAGTAAGGGTAGGAAGGACCCATGAGCATGATATTCAGGTTGACAAGCATGACTTTACTTATAGATATATAACTTAGTGGACTAGTCATGCTAGTATTTGCTAACTGTACCATGTGCAGTCGCAGACGTAACGTGTACGTGTGACGGCTCTGCCGTCTCTTGTATGCGAGACGGGTGCGGTCCGCAGTACTCAGTGAAGCGCTTGATACTAATTAATTCAAACACCGTGGCTGTCCTGTCACCCGCGACCTCCGCG